TCACGTATAATTACTTTAAGCTTTTACATATAAGCCTTGTACTTTTATCTTAAAATGTGCCTCGACTGATATGTCCTTTAACCGACACTCCTCAGTCCACATATTTCCTTTAAGATATTCTATCTTCAACTCCTGGATAATACCTTTAAACTAACCATTTTAAATACATTTGCATACTTTTACACTCCACTTAAATACACGAATCATACACTGCCAATTTGCCTTAACCTCATTAATATTCATGTAACTTATTTCCATTCACAGACCGTTTTAACTTGAGTCATACCACTATGCATATTCATTAGTTCACGATTCAGTTAGCAGTGCTGCAATGTAGAATGAAATATCCTAAATATTGTGACACACCCAACACTGCGGAAGGATGATCACGACTCTGTCCGGCGCGCACAAAACCAGTCGGAAGGCGCGCGCCGGCACCAAGGTCTACCTGGTCGTCGGCATGAGAAAGTGCGACGGGCCGACCGTGCTCAATCATCCGTACCCGACGTTGCTGTTCTGCGACGATCGACGCCAGCTGCACGAACGCATGAAGGTGGCCAACTACGTTTGCCGGACGAGGAGCGGACGCGTCACGCCGTGCATGGTGAAGGCGATAGGCGAATTCGTCAGCGACTATCGCGGCAGGAACAGGAGTCCGCAACTCGAACTGTTCATGAAGACAGACTTCGAAGCTCATCATTTCGAACGTTGACGTCACTCGACGTCATGGGGTACATCTTTCGCGACTATAAGTGTGATGCGTACGGATTCCTGTCCGCATTAAACGTTCGAGAGGAGGCATGGGAAAGTCGGTGGCAAACGAATAAGACAACAACTATGGACCTGTACGACCTCTCGGGCCACTTAATGGACGGTGCTTTCGGAAGCGTTTACTCGGCGATCAGAAGAGCCGACGGACTGCCGGTCGCCGTGAAGGTAGTGAGAAACTCCTCGGCGTCCTACCTGACGAACGAATCGGGCGAAACGATATTGGCGGAGGCGCACTTCCTATGTTTGGTCTCGGGGATCGAGGGTTGCATCGGATTCGTGGACGTTCACCAGGTCAAAGATTGTCATTTACTCGTGATGGAACGGCTGCTTCGGAGCTCCGACCTATTTCAAGTTCTGGAGAAAGTCGGCATTATCCCGAAGGAGAGATGCAGATGCTTCTTTCGGCAAATCGTGGACGCCTACGTCGGTTGCTTGAAACGAAACGTAGTTCACGGAGACCTGAAGATGGAGAACGTGATCGTCGATCTGGACACGGACATGATCAAGCTGGTGGACTTCGGTTTCGCCAAATTCGTCGACGACCAACCGATCGCCAGCGCTTTCGGAACCACCGATCATTACCTTCCTCCGGAGATGCTGAAACATCGATTCATGTATGCCGTTCCGGCGATGATCTGGTCGCTCGGAATCATGCTGTTCGAAATGATCACCGGAGAAGAAGTAGAACGCGGCCGTCGACCGTACTTGCAGTTAATCAACGACGCGGAGCTACTTTCGCTCCTCGATCGAATGCTGGCGGTCGACTGGAGGAAGAGACCGTCGCTGAAACAAGTGTCGGATCATCCGTGGACGAAAAAAATGACCGCGAATTGGGAATATGTTCAATAGAAGACGAGATGTACAGACGGATGCACAACAACGAATTTCGTATGCTATTTCACGTCCCCGAGTCGGAGAGAGACGGCTTCGTTCGACGGACGTGGCGCAGAGATCGACCGCACCACCCCGTCATGGTAAAGGAGATTTTGAAGCCTTGCCCCACGTCAAGATGGAAGGGTGCGCAGCTGCCCGAGGAAACGGTGTTCATGGAGATGGCGAAGGGAGTACCCGGTTGCGCGAACTTGGAAGCCGTTTCGAACGACGACCGATCTTACCTTATGGCCGTGACGCGACCGACGTTCCACTGCTTCCTGAACGAGATGCCAGAATCTTCGTGCTGCGGAGAAAACAACGCGAAGAAGATATTCGAGCAGGTGGTGCGAGCATGCGTCGGCTGTCGAGACCGCGGTTTCTACCACGACTCGGTGGACGACGGACAGCACCGATCACGGACAGCGCCGAACTCGTAAATTTCGGGTCGGCCGTGAAAATCGACGAGCGGAACAGATCTGTGTTGGAAAGACGCTGCGTCGACTCGTTGACATCACTGCATCGCCGGATGACCGGAAAAGAATGTTTCGACGGACAAGAAGCGGCCACTCTCGACGACTTGATGAGATGGGTGGTAGACGACACCGATTCCCGAGAATAATTTTTTTTTTACAAATGTTTTTCTTTCCAACCCCCCCCCCCCAAATTGTTTTGTATACTATGTTAAATGAATATTGAAATAATAAATAAAAGACACACACAAAAATCTATATGGTATTATTTTCATTTTATTTTTAATTTGTTCTACGAAGACTTGTCTTCGGATAACTCTTCAATAAGCTTCTGTATTTCCTGGCACGTAGCCTTGTAAGTTCTGAAGTCTTTCTGGGAGGGAGCCTCGCCGCCGGTCATCTTGGAAGCCATGGATCTTTCGAGGCTCCTGAACACAAGCAGCTGCTCTTCGCACACTCGTCGATAACTGGGCACGACGTGACGATCGAAGTGAACCTC